TTCGTGGGTTTTTTAAGAAATTCATCGGGGCAAGTGATTCTAACTCGAATTTGGTTAATATACATGAATATATCAATGAATTCATCATCTGATTAGTACTTTGAGGTGGAAATTTGGGAAAAATTGTAGAAACTTCATAAAATAAATTTTTGGGATTTGAATGTCGATTTGAAGTCGGATTTGAGTGAAATTAGTATGGTTGAACTTATAATTGAATGGGTTGTCGGATTTTATAACTTTTGTTGGATTCCGAGATGTGGGCTCCACGGGCGACTTTTGAGCTAAATTTTGGATTTTTTGGAAAATTAGCATTTTCATATGGAATTAATTCTAATGATTATTATTGACCGAAACGAATTAATTATGACTAAATTCGAGGCATTCGGAGGCCGATATACGAGGCAAGGGCATAGCAGAGTAAAGAATTTCACACTCTGAGGTAAGTAACACTTTTAAACTTAGTTCTGAGGGTATGAATCCCCGAATTTGATATTATATGAATTGTTGAAGTTGACATACACGATAGGTGACGAACATGTAAACGTGCACCACAGAAAGTGCATCTTGAATAAATTCTGTGAAGTAGTAAAATTAAAGAATCATGTTATTAATCTGAACATGTGGCACATGTTAGAGGAATTGAGCTGAGGCTTGTAATAAAGATCGTGTTTAGGCTACGTGCCGATATTTTAGGACCCATGGGGTCATGATGCTATTGAATTAATTGTTCTAAAATATATATTTCACACTCAGTAATAATTTTCCATTGTGACGATATTTATGGGATTTAGCTGCGCAACGCAGCAGGCCATTTGGCTTTATATATGTTATTATTAAATGGATCGGGGCTGCCCGCCTGCAGCAGGCCAGAATGGCTTTATACATTATTATAGTTCTGGATCGGGGCTGTCCGCCTTCAGCAAGCCTTATTGGCTTTACTATTTTATGGATCGGGGCTGCCCGCCTTCAGCAGGCCTTATAGGCTTGTTATTATACGGATCGGGACTGCCCGCCTTCAGTAGGCCATATTGGCTTTGTATTACGCTTGGGCTGAATGAGCCCCTCCGGAGTCTGTACACANAGTTATTTAGATATGGATTTTGTTAGTATCATTTATATTTAGGGATAAATTATCTCAGGGCTAGATTGGCCTTATACGGTATTGGGTGACTCACTGTCAGTCGATGTGCATATATATATACGGGTTGGAACACCCCTGGGCTAGATTGGCGATAAACAGTACTGAGTGACCAGATAATTTGTGACCAATATTTACATGAGATCTTTCTACTGAGATGTCATATGCCTTATATCATGCAGTACTGATCTATTTCACTTGTACTGAGTTTAACTGTTGAACTTGAAAGAATGCCTACATTTCTGTACCATTATTTTTATTGGACTGTACCTGCAGAGCTTATCATTTCTTTCAGCCCAGAGGTTAGTCTTGTTACTTATGGAGTTAGTTGTATTCATACTACACTCTGCACCTCGTGTGCAGATCCAAGTGCTCCCGGATACGACGACTGCTAGAATTCAGAGTTATTTTTGTTGGAGAGTATCAAGGTAGCTGCTTGACGACCGCATACTTGATTCCCTTCCTGTTTAGTTATTGTACTGTTCTATACTTAAGATAGTGATGTTTATCAGTCAGACTTTGTATTCATTTAGATGCTCATGTACTCAGTGAAACCAGGTTTTGGGAGTGTTATATTTGAAATTGTGAGATTTCTTCCGTTGAATTTAATTATTTTGTTTTCAAATTTAAAACACATGGTGGATTATTGAGATTTTTGGCTTGCCTAGTATTGAGATAGGCGCCATCACGACAGGTGAGATTTTAGGTCGTGACATAACTCAAGGTTGATAATGAGATTCCTGTGCTTGTCACATGATGGCATGATAGATGTGGTGTGTGGTGCGGGATTAAAATTTACATGTACAAGGTGACAGTTCATTCTTGAAAGGAAGGTCACGAATCCTGGACAGAATAGTTAGTGTTATATATTTAGATGAATATTATAATTTCCTGGTAATCCCTGAGAAGGGTGCACAATTCAAAAGGGCATTGTGTTTTGATTTACGGATACTCATTGGTATTGTGGTACTCACCTGGTTGATAGACTGCTGATATTCAAATTATTGTTATGTCGCACGGAAGAATTTTGAAAGTATTCCTAGTGGGAAGATTGTGCATGAAAGATGTGTTAGTCATTCGAGTGTTGGAGTTGCGATCAGTTACGATGGTTCATGTGTACTTATTTTATTGCTCATGTATGATATGCTTGGATTGGAGGTATGTATCCATGCCAGAAAGATTATATTATTAGCACGTGAGTTGTCCGTATGGGTCCAGATATTGATACTATATCACGTGAGTTGTCCGTGCGAGTGATGATAATGTGAGCTCTAGAAGATCTGGTTACTCTTATCAAATTCATGTGTCTTGGTTCTACTATATATAATAAGCTTATAGCATTGCAGTTATGGTGGTGCTTGTTGAACTTGCAATACAGTTCTCTACTTTGAGACATCTTCCATTTTGGGTACAAGGTTGCGCAGTTGTGGCTTGAGTTGTATTGGTGTGGCATGTCAGTGGGATAGTTGTGTTTAGTAATATATGGTCATTGTACCTAGAATGGGTACTATCAGGGTTGATTACAGTATATTCGGAAGGATAATATTGAAAGTCGGCTTAGAAAGTGATTATGGTTCTGGTTGGGGCGAGAAAGCTCCATGACTTGTTGATCTGATAAGTGATTATGAGATTCCGTGTGTTTCTTTAAATATCAGTAGTGTACGAAGGTTTTGCAACGAGGTTTGGCTTGATATGGGGTTTAATACTATTACCGGGTTAGTTTGGAGTAGTTACTGTGATCGAAAATGGTGCTGCGAGTATGCGAGTTGTGTAGTATGTTAAGTGATTATATATGGGGTTATGGCTAAGGCCTAATACAGCTTATTAAGAATCAAACAGTGTGTAGATGTGAGATTCGGGCCTTGAAAAGAAATTTTTTGGATGTTGGAAATTGGACTCCAAGGTTAACGGGCTAATGCTAAATTAGTGATTTTCGGTTACATGGTATTGTCAGGCCTACATAGAATAGGGTGGCGTGGAATCACTCCCGGGTTCGTGCGTGGTAAGATGGAATAGTGATTTGGTAACTTCGGTAAACGACTTGAGTTTTCCCTGATACACCTGAAAGGCAGAGTTATTTTTCAAAAATCATGATTTAAGCTGAGCATTTTATCTTTGAGTTACTTCTTTTATTACTTGCTTTATGTTGTTATTAACTGTTGTTAGTTAATGGAGTTGGACTCTGACCTTGGTACAAGCTCGTCACTACTTTCAACCTAAGATTAGGTTTGTTACTTATTGAGTACATGTGGTCGGTTGTACTCATACTACACTTCTTCCCCTTGCGTGCAGATTTTGGATGTTGATGCTGATGTACATGGCGGGAGTTGGATCTGAAGACGTACCTGTATTCCAGTCATTGCTGCCTCTTATTCATGGTAGTCTTAGATTTATAAAAAAGAATCGGTTTATTTATATTTCGAACAGATGATGTATGTATTTCATACCAACTTTGTAATTTTCAATCTTAGAAGCACATGATTTGTATTACCAGTTCTTGAGGAATGCATTTGAGTCAGTTATATATTAATGGAATTGGATAGTTGTTAATTGGCTTATTAACGGGTTAGGTTAGGTGCCATCACGACTAGGTGGATTTTGGGTTGTGACACCAAAACTCTCCCATCTCAACAACCAATATATATTTTGCTGATTCTTATTTCTGCTTTTTTTAATGGAGATACTTTCAAAAATTCTCAATGAGTCTTTTGGACGTCAAAAATTATCTCGTGACCATAAAGATGAGAAGATACATCTAAGAAAGGTAAGACTATCTAAAAAATTCTATAAAACATTGAAGTGAACAAAATCTGTCGTAACAACTGCCGCAAAAAAAGAAAATCCTGTGTGTCTATATGCATAAGAATATGACAATTTGACAACCAAGAAGATACACTTTATTTTCAAAGGTTATACAAATGCTTCAAAATTTTCAGTTCTTGAGCGAACATAGAACTAGCCAAGCAGCATCCGACCTCAATTTATTGTTGCTTTTGACACCACTTTGTCATCACTGCAAAAAGGCAAAGTTTTATATAAGTCCATTAGTATGAAATCAATCAATCATTTCAGTATTTTCATAAGTTACGTTTCTAATAACACATTTACAAAAGTAAGTTGACATGATTTTTCCAGTAACGACTAAGTAGACACTCATCTAGAGTTTGTAGGTCAATTAGCTAGAAAACCACATATATATGGTTCCAACAAGCCCTTGATTAAAACTATATTCTGAATTTACATTACATGACTAAGAAACCTAGAATTATAAATCACAAGTTATCTGGGATAAGAGGAGGTCCCATCCTAATAATAATAAGCCGATTAACTCAACATAAATGAAGAATGATCGTCCCTATTGATGTTGCAGGGTTGCAATTAGTAATAGCACAACCAGAATAGAAGTGAACGCAAATTGATGTGAACGGACTGGACTGAACCTTGCAACATTAAGAACATTTGGCTCTTCACAAGAGCATTCTTGTGTCTTGGCTAATTGCCAAATATTAACAAAAGATTGCAATTCACAACCTTAATTCAAATATTGGCGCTCTTTTCTAGAAGATATCTATTTCGACCAACTGAATACTACTCTTCTTAATCCAGTTCTTAAAGGCCTATTCTTGGGTGACCTATTTTAGTCAATTGCCAAACAAGTGGTAAAGGTACAATAGTTATGACTACCAAACCTCAAACCGAATAGGATAAATCAAAAGCTCAACTCAAAATTTTAGTTGTCGTAAATGAAAGTAGATTTAATTAAGATTTTAGTTCTAATCTCTTGGCAAGTTAAGGTTTTCTTTGGTTGCATTTTAGAGTGCAGTAAAAAAAATTATATAACAAGAAGAACTAACTAACAAACCTTAATTCTGTTGTTACTCCTTTGCCTTTAAAATTATGAATACTTCCAAAATATGGCTTGATATGCTCAGATTCAACCAAAGGTTGTTTGCCATCTGAATGTGTCATCATTGTTTTAGCTTCAAATTCTTCAGCACTACTGAATCTCTCGACTCCTTTTCCTTTTACTATTTGACTGCTTGATCCTGCTTCTCCAAGAGAAATTGAATTAGATCTGTCGAAGCCATGAAGGTCATGCAGCGGCAACATATCAAAATTCAAAGTACTATTAGTTCCACGAACTGAAGCCATCGTATTAAAATTTTGCTGTTCTTGGATAGCAGCCTCTTGGACCCGCACAATTTGGTGATAAACAAGTTGCAATTGTGCCTGATATAGATTAATTTGCCGATGTAGATTCTGGATGACTCGATGACTCCCTCCAACAGGGTCGTCGGCACGAATATTAGCCTCAAAGATTAATGCTTTCATAGCGTTGTCTTTCTGAAACGGAGGCACATTTTTTAGGACCTTCAATATGTTACTAACACCGAAAAGTTTGTGGGCATTGAGAAAATCTTTCTGCCTTTCGGCTGGAAAATAAGGGGCTAACGGACAAACAGACGCACATCTTCTGCGTTGATACTTGCACGCAGCGCAAGCTTGCGAACCATTTGCTCCACTTCCACCGCCGCCACCGCCTCGGGAAGCAACCCTTGTAATGTTACTCGGGTTACTTCTAGTGGAAGTAGTGACTGCATAAGTAGTAGCAGAAGCAGGAGTAGCTAGAGGGGAGATATTTTGAGTGTTGTTGACAACATTTGTCATCGTTTATATCCCCTTCTGAGTCGCCGATGCAAAACATCCGATGTTTTCTCAGTTAAGGTTGAATAGGACGTTCTAGAATCTAGGATTGTTTCGTTTAAGATGGAACGTAAGATTTCCAGTTCTCCACTAATAAAGAAGTGTACGAGTAATTCTCGCTAAGACGTGGTTACATGGGTTAATTACGTGTTTTATGGTATTGTTTGCTTTTCTATCTCTTAATTTTCACCTTAATTATTCTCTTCCCTTAATTAATTAATTCTCATTTTGGTAATCTTTAGAGCAAATGAAGTCTAGCGTGCGTAGGAATTTTAGTTGCATAATTCAAATGGTAATTTTAAGACTTCGCAGTAAAGTTAACGTTAGAGGTTTGATGAGTTGAGTTTCTATGAGATAATCCTTAACCGACCAAGTTAAGAGACCACAATTCAAACATAATATTACAATAAGTATCTTCTAAGTCCTACTCCTACTCTAATTAGGTCTTCTCTGTTTTCTTACTAAAAGAAATACTAGCTGAGGGGAAGTAGTTGTCTATACTCTTTTTTTTTTCCTTTCATTTCGGAAGTATAATTTTTAAAAGCATGTTGATCAGTCCAAATAGTCCAACAATTGTCCCGATGTCGGAAAATGTCACGACCCAAAATCCAACTAGTCGTGATGGCACCTAACCCAACCGGATAGGTAAGTCAACTTTCAATTATCCAATTCCAATAACAATTATTAAAGCAATTTAAGTGAATAAAAATCTTAATTTCATACATCCCCCAAGAACTAGTTGTACAAATCATGAGCTTCTAAGAATAGAGTATACCAAGCGAAAATGAAATAAATACATAGTCTGTTTGAATAATACATAAACAGAGCTTTTATAAATCTAAGGCTACCATGAACAAGAGGCAGCTACAACAGGAACGCAGGTACATCTTCAAATCCCGCAACCATCGAGCACAACAACAACAACGGCAACATATGTATGCAATGTGCAGAAGTGTAGTATCAGTACAACCTATCCCATGTACTGAGTAAGTAACAAACCTAGCCTTAGGTTGAAAGTAATGGCGAGCTTCTACCAAGGTCGGGTCCAAAATCACTAGTCCACAACAGTCCATAACAACATAAAGCAAATAATACCATAAGTAACTCAGAGATTAAATGCTCAGCCAAATCATGATTTCAAAAATAATAGTTCTTCCTTTCAAGTACATCACTGAAAACCCAAATAGTTTGCCGAAGTTGTCAAAAAAAATGAATAAGTTTGAAAACAATAATTTTTTCCAAAAATCCTTTCAATAATAAATGAGATGTTTCATTTTCCTTCCAGATAACCCATGTAAAAACAAATGCATCACTATGCCCATTTGTCAAAATGTGTGAGAAATCATGAATGATATGATGTTGTACAGCATGAGAAAAATACATCTCTATGCATGTATGTCATGTTTGCATGTCAATGCGATGCAACTCAGTGATAAAATCATAAACAGCCCCTCGGGGTTACCTCACAATCACTCGTAAACCACCCCTCGGGCATAACTCACAATCACTCGTAAACAGCCCCTCGGGCATACCTCACAATCACTCGTAAACAGTCCCTCGGGCATGCCTCACCATCTCTCATGCCTCCCAGTCACTCAACATTCGGCACTTGCACTCAGTAGGTACCTGCGCTCACTAGGGTGTGAACAGACTCTGAAGGAGCTCCTTCAACCCAAGCGTTATAATCTACACGGACAACTCACGTGCTATAATATCATATCAGAATCCGCATGGACAACTCACATGCCATAATAAGCCAATAAGGCCTATTGCAGGCGGGCAACCCCGATCCATATAATAGTAATAATATATATATAAAGCCAACATATCTCGCTGCGGCATGCAGCCCGATCCCAAAAATATCCTCACAATCAGTCCCTCGACCTCCCTCAGTCATCAATCTCTCTAGTCTCTCTCTCATGGGATCACAATGTCATGAGAATAGCCCAAAAATGATGATATGATGTATCAATAAATAACAACAAAGACTAAGATATGATATGCAATGAAATGAATATGACTGAGTATGAATTTTCTATTTAAATAAATAATTCACAGCAATATGACCTTTGTGGGTCCCAATAATACTGGCACATAGCCTCAACGTGATTTTTAATATGCTTTTCAGCTCAATTTCTTTAACACATAAAACTGCATGGAAAATGCTAAGATTATTTAACTACAAAATTTCACATAAATAATTATGTCAAAATTTGTATAGTGCACGCCCACATGCCCGTCACCTAGCATGTGCGTCACCTCCCAACAATTCACATAATACATATATTCAGGGTTCATACCCTCAGCTCCATGATTAGAAGAGTTACTTCCTCGAACAAGCCAAATCCAATGTCGAGCAAGCTAAGCAATGCTCCACAAATTCCATTCTGCGCGTATCAACTTCCAAACGACTCGAATCTAGTCACAATTAATTTGATTCAGCTCACAAAGTTATAGGAATTAATTCCATATCAACATACTAATATTTTTCAAAAATCCGAAATTACGCCCCAAAAATCATCCGTGGGGCCCACGTCTCGGAATCCGATAAAACTCATAAAATTCGAACCCCCATTCAACCACAAGTCCAACCATACCAAAACTACTCAAATCCAATAACAACTCGGCCTTCAAATCCTCAATTTAAACTAAGAGGGTTTTCAAATTTTTCCAACTTAATTCACCAATTAAAAGATAAAAACAACCATGGATTCAGGCAATTTAACAAATATTGAGTTAAGAACACTTACCCCATTGTTTCTCTTGAAAAACGCCCGAAAATCGCCTCTCCCCGAGCTCAAATCCATCAAATATTCGTCCCATTTTCAGAACTTAAACTCTCTATCCAGACCTCTCTTCTTCACGAACGCGACAGGTCCCTCGCATTCGCGAAGCACAACTCGACTGCCCACAATTTAACCCTTCGCGAACGCGACCGTGGTTTCGCGAACACGACCGTGGTTTCGCGAACGCAAAGCTTTGCAAACCTTACCCTTTGCGAACATGAAGCTTTACCAGCTCAGACCTTCGCGAACGTGACTTCCACCTCGCGAACGCGTAGAACAAGGACCCGGGGATCCCCAATAGCCTCACTCCTCTTCGCGGACGGGACACCTCTCACGCGTTCGCGATGCACACACAGACCATACCTTCGCATTCGCGTCCTCCCCTTTGCGGACGCGAAGAATAAAACCTCACACTCAGAAAACATTCTTCGCGAACGCCAGGGCCCACTCGTGAACGCGAAAAAGAAAATCAGAAAAATGCAGCAGTAGATATGAGCAATCTCACCATGGCCAAAAATGATCCGCTAACCATCCAAAACTCACCCAAGCCCCTCGGGACTTCAACCAAGTATACCAACAAGTCCTAAAATATCATACGGACTTAGTTGAACCCTCAAATCAGCTCAAACAACGCTAAAACCATGAATTACATCCCAATTCAAGCCTAATGAACTTTGAAATTTCTAGTTTCTACAAATGACTCCGGAACCTATCAATTCACGTCTGATTGACCTCAAATTTTACACACAAGTCATAAATAATATAACGGAGGTATTAAAATTTTCAGAATCAGATTCCGACCCCGATATCAAAAAGTCAACCCCCCGGTCAAACTTCCCAAAAATTTAACTTTAGGCATTTCGAGCCTAATTCCACTACGGACCTCCAAATAATTTTTTGGACATGCTCCTAAGTCCAAAATCACCATACGGAGCTATTGTAATCATCAAAATTAAATTCCGAGGTTGTTTACACATAAGTCGACATCCTATCACTATTTTAACTTAAGCTTTAAACCTTGGAACTAAGTATTCCAATTCATTTCAATACCTCACCAGACCCGAACCAATTGCCCCGACAAGTCACACAACAATTGTAAAGTACAATTTGAGCAGTAAATGGGGAAACAAGGTTCTAATACTCAAAACGACCGGCCGGGTAGTTACATTCTCCCCCACTTTAACATGCGTTCGTCCTCGAAAATGTCAGGAGTTGTTTCCAAGCCATCAAATCACTATTCCATCTTACCACACACGTACCCGGGGGTGAACCCATGCCACCCTATTCCGTATGAGCTTGACAACACAATACAACTGAAATCATTGATTTAACATTAGCCCATAAACCTTGGAATTTAATTTGCAACCTTTAGAATTTCTTTCAAGACACTAATCTTAGATTTACACCATGTATGAGTTTGAACAAGTTGTATCAAGCCATAACTATAACCATAACCACTGACATAATCACCTAACATATTACACAACTCGCATGCTCATAGCACCATTCCTGACCACAATGACTACTCCAAAACCAACCAAACACTAGTACTAAACCCATATCGAACCAAACCTCATCCCAAAACCTTCGTACACTGTTGATAATAAAAGAAGCATGCAAAATTTCATGACCACTTACTAGATCAACAAGTCACGGAGCTCTCTAGCCCCAACCAGAACCATAATCACTTTCTAAGCTGACTCTCAATATTATACTCCCGAATATACCGAAATCAAACCTGATACTACCCATTCTAGGTCCAATGACCTTGTATTACTAAACACAATGGTTCCATAGACATGTCGCACCGATATAACTCAGAGCCATATCACGTGCCATCAGTGCACCAATACGCAGCAATTCAAATGTACCCAGTCATGGAAAATGACTCAAATGAGAAAACTGCCCCGCTAGATTAACAAGTACCGCCACAATGAAATGCTGAAAATTCATCATACACCGTAGAACCATCACCTGATTCTAACACAAGGTCCATACCTTAACATCCAATCGCTGGTCCATAATATATAGCTCGAGCCACCCCGCTCAAAATCAATAACCACAGAGAGGCAAATGACAAAAGGCCACACTAAACATGAAAGAACATAACCATTACGCAATCGATCATGCAATACCCAAATAATCATCATGCTCAAATTCCGCTATAAAGCTCAAATA